TTAAAAAATAAGCACAAAAGATGACAGTAATGGAGAAATCAAGGAATAAAAAAGATGACACTTAGGAAAAAACAACCAAATGGCAGAAATTTGTCATTTGCAGTAATTACTTTAAATTTAACCAGATTAAACTTTCCAAATAAAAGACAGATATAAAACTTATGGGATGCAGTGAAAGTGTTCAGAGGGACATTTATGGCTGTAAATGCCTGTATTCAAAAAGAAGGAAGATCTTAAATCAACAACCTAACTTTACACCTTAAAGAACCAGAAAAAGAGCAAATTGAGCCTAAAGCCAGCAGAAGGAAGGAAATAACAATGATTAGAATAGAGATATATGAAACAAGTAATAGAAAAATAGAATCTATTATATCAAAAGTTGGTTTTTGAAAAGATAACAAAATTGAAAAAACTTTAACTGGCCTGACAAAGAAAAAGGAAAGAAGGAAGACTCAATTACTAAAATCAGAAATGAAAGTGTTGATATTATTACTGACCTTACAGAAATCAGGACTATAGGAGAATATATGAATAATTTTACATGAATAAATTACACATTCTAGTTGAAATGGAGAAATTCCTTTTGATGGCCCCTTCCCTGGGATCAGTAATCTTGTGAAGGGTAAACGTGCTGTTTTAAAAATGTGTAATAAAATCCTATAGAATGCTTTTAGAACATCAATTACATGAAAGTCTCACCTATCATTGAATTGCTCTGCTATGATCACAGCAGAGATTCAAGCTAGAATTCGCTTTTATTATCTGCTTGACACTATTGCTCATACCCTCTAGAAGGTAGCGCATGTGATACTCCATTGTTCCGATTCCAGGTTTCCATGAACTTTTGCTGTAAGTCCAACACATTCATGCTGTAAATCCAACAGTTCTATCTGTATTAAAATGACAAGATTAAAACAATGTGTCTTTCAGCAACCAACGTTGTTAGAAACTTTCTTACTGAGGTAAATTCTAGAAATCTGAGATCTGGGGCCTTGGTGAGGAACTCTCTCTCCCACAGGTAAAGAGGGCTGTGGCTTTTCTTGCCTTTGCCTCGAGGCTGGATGCATGCACCTGCTGACTGAAATAAATGTGCAGCCTAAAAGTTGAGAGTTATGTTTTATTTGGTGGGAGGACTTGATCCAGGATGACAGCCTCTCAGATTGCTCTGAGGGACTGCTCCGAAGAGGTAGGGGAGGAGCTAGAACATATAGGAGATTTACAACAAAGACCAGGTAGTTGGAACAGCAAGATTACATGTTATCTAAAAAAAAACAGGCATCACAAATTAAATAATTTAGTGCTTTTCTATGTATGGGAGGAAGCAAACGGTTGGGCTCATTGAATTCATTCCTTTGACAAGCACCGAGCTATCTAGGGCCAGTATCTTTTCCTTTATTATTCTGTGTCCCCTCAGAGTGCACCATTGTGAGTGGCTGCAGAGGCTGGGCTGCAGGCTTGTCTTCACTAGGGGGTGGCAGCAGCCGCTGATGACTTTGTGGTTTCAGCATTCTTTGTTTACTGATACGGTATTTTTTGTTCAGACACCCCTCAGTGTACCTCCCTACCCTGCAAGTCACCCTTCCTAGCCTGGATGACACAGGCATGGGGACCGTCCCTCGGCCAGGCCTGTAATCTTGTTCTTTCTGGACAGAACAGTCCCTGCTACCACTCTTCCAGCAGTGAAAAGTTCTCATCCCTCTGAACATCTTTCATTCCAGATCAGCTATGTTAACAGTCTTACCAAATAACTTGAGAGTAACATAGTATTACTTTGTATCTTGTAAAACCATTTGACATGACCTATAGAGCTGGACTTCCAGCAAAGTGAGTTCATCAGCAGCTGAAGTCATAAAAACGAAAGCACCTTGATGGGTATGTTCTTGGTATAGATTGTGAAGATGGCTTCATGGGTGAATACGTACCTCTAAACTCTTCAAGTTATATGTATTAAATATAGATAGCTTTCTGTATGAGGCCAGTCATAGCTCAGTAAAGTGATTTAAAAAATTGAAAACCCTTCCTCTTTAACTTTTTACCACATGGTAGATACTATGCTGGTTTTTTACATATATTCTTTTAATATTCTTGACAATTCTACGAAGTAGACACAGTTGTCCTCTAGTATCTGTAGGGGCTTGGTTCCAGGACCCCCATGGTTACCAAAATTCTTCGATGCTCAAGTCCCTCCTGTAAATGATACAGGATGCTTATAACCTACCCCTATCTTCCATATGCTTTAAATGACCTCTGGATTACTTATGATACTTAATACAATGTAAACACTATGTAAATAACTGCAAATACAATGTAAATAGTTGCAGGTGCACAGCAAATTGAAGTTTTGCTTTTTGGAAATTTCTGTAATTTTTTTTCCCCTGAATCTTCCATCCTTGGCTGGTTGAATCTGCAGATGTGAAACCCGCGGATAGGGTGGCCAACTGTATCATTATCAAATCCCCCCTTTCCAGATGAGAAAACAGTTTCTGAGAGGGTGAGTGCTGAAGACTACAAAGCTCTTTGTGAGTGATCAAGATAGGATTTGATCCCAGGCCCGCCAGACTCCAGAGCATGGCCCCTTAACCATTATTTTATAGTGCTCTCCTGCCTCCTATGATGGCATAATGGATTGTATCAGATGCATAATTGGTGGCTAAACCCCTGCATGGGAGCTCTTAGTCTTATTCTCCACAGTAATACTTGAAGATGCAAGAATGAAGCTGAACTTCTCACTGTCTGGCAGAAGAGAAGTTGGAAATTCCTCCCCTCTCTTACTTCCACCTTGTGATGGATTTTGAGAATCCTTCAAGCCTAGTGGGCACTGAGAATTACCTGGGCCACAGGTGAATATTTATATAACCTTAATTTAAAAGCTAGTTAAGATTTGAGTGTGGAAAGGCTCATTTATTCAGCCAGTAAGCAATGTGATACTACATTAGAATAAAAACATAAGAATAAAATATAGGCACAAAAAGTACAGAATATAGTGACTATCTCACATTTGAAAAATACTGAGAGTGCTGGGCAAGCTTTCAAGCCAAGGACTATCATAAAGGAGGAAGAGCATTTGGGCCCTTGTAAGGCATCTTAAATAGTTGTGTGATCTTGTAAGTCTTGGGGTTTGATTTCCTCAACCGTAACGAAAAAAAAGAAAAAAAAAAGCAAAACCAAAACCTTGATTTAGAGAAAGTATATTTTTGAAGTAACTAGCAAAACAATTTTGGGGAGCCCAACCTTTAGTAAAGAGTGTTTTAAGTTTACTTTAACCAGTGGTAGTTTGTTGCATCTATTACACGGGCTGTTACAAACGGCACGTCATTCGACTTCCTTGACCATCTGAGATGGCTTGTGTTAAACAGTCACGAAGCCGGGCGGGAACACGCCGGCACCCTGCGGTGCGGCGTCAGCATCTACGGGGCACCCTGCGGTGGCGACTAAGAAAATAGTAGAGCTTTCTGAGTTTTCACTTCGTGTAGGCGCACAGCCAGCCCACCGCGCGTTAGACGAGCAAAGACCAGCGAAAACTGCTTTTGGCGTGAATTCATCACAAGGTTACCTTTGCCTGTGAAATAGTGTGGCAGCCGGCCCTCCTCCTTTACTAGGTTACACGTAGGCAAAGAAGAAAATAATGACAAACACCAAAAAG